CCATGGATATCACATAGATTTCTCCAAATAAAGCATAAGTAAATACAGAAGCAATTAACCATAAAGTTCTAGGAAGATACACAATCATTGTGCATTTGTCTCTGTTGTTTGCAAGATTTCCTTTTTGTCTGTGACATACTTAGTACATTTACATCCGTGATTCGAATTTGTACATGAAAGATTGTTTTTTAATGAAATATTAAGTCTAAGATTTACATCCGTGATTCGAATTTGTACATGAAAGATTGTTTTTTAATGAAATATTAAGTCTAAGATAACAAGTTCTTGTTAGGTTCGAATTCCAGAGAATTTATAATTAGTTAGATAGGTAATAACTCATTAAAAAATTTCAATGTCATTACAATATAGTTGTCTATTTGTTAAGATTTAAAAAGTGATTCTCTTAACACTAACCAAATAGCGATGCAGGTAATGAGATTGATATAAAAAAAATTCTGAATAAATCAATTAGAAAATGGCCTCAAGTATCAGCTAGAACTAATTTACCTTCCCTATACGAGGCCGCTCTTTTACCTTCTCAAGGCTATTTCGAACATGCGAAACAGCTCCCCAACATTTCAATGTGTTTGCCACATCATCTAGCCTCAGTAGGTACTCTTCTTCAGTTAGGGGGAAAGATCGCTTTAAAATAGAAGCATGAAGGCACATTAGATGGAAATCACGGAAACAATTTAAATATTCTATATTGACTCTCAACACATGCTAACACTTACAATGCATGATTTTTGCTTTAACAGATCTCAAAGGATCTTAAAATCATTTTATCAGAAAAAGGAAACAAAAAGATCACTCGAACATACTAAGTTGTTTCTTTCAACCTGTCTAGGAAAGTAATAAACCTCATTTCCAAAGCCAAAAAGTCAGCTAATTTCTAACTTAAAAATTTGCTTTACTTGATCATTACGTAATGTTGAGTATCAGCGAACCATTTGAGAAAGCTACAGGAGAGCAGTAGTCAGCATGCTGTCTCAAGAAAATTACTATTTGCATCTGATCTAGTGTATCAGCAGTACCTAATTAAGCTAAATTTAAAAGTTCCTCTTTTGGTCATTCGGCCAATGTTAACTGTTCAAATTTTCATCCACTTGAAAGTGATTCTTATAGAATTCATCGTTCCAAGTAATCTCCTTTAATGTACTCCTCTTTCTGTATACTAAGATATATTCATCTTCTCAAATGCTCGGGCCAAGGACTAGAAAGGAAAGTGCAGCATCCCATCGAATATCATGCTTCGGGCATGTTCCATTAAGAAGGCCAACCCTAATCAGGACAAGAAATCAAGACGAAAACTAAAAGGAGGGAAGGACAAAATGCAACTTTATTGGGACATTTTTCAAAATATTCGTCAAATCAGATGGTAGAAATAATTTAATGACAACAACCAGTTTCATTATGGAATGCTAGAGATATCAGCTCACCTGCTCCCTGTATTTCCACATAACGTTTAACGCAAGAAGATTTTTCCCCATGAATTCCTACATAAAAGGCATATAGGGATACTAAGTTAAGCATCTAAATGATGTTATAGATTAACTGCAGAAAACCTTGCAACATCAATTGGAATTGTTTGAACGCTCTTTCTCTAGTCAGCTTTAATGGTCAAATAGTCTTAAAAGAGCTTCCCAAATAATAAAAAGGTCACCTGAGTAACAAGTATAGATTGGATACCAAACACTCTAAACCTAATAGACATAACTTTCTTTTGACAACACACTTTTAATCGGACTTGAAGCCAACAATATCTTTAGTTGTTAACAGCATTACACCGTCCAATAGATTTTTGAATATTGAAATTATGGAGAAGTTGCATGTAGATCTACTGTCAATCAAATAAGTAATAAAGTTACGAATACATCAGAAATGATGATTAAAGAATAAGGAAAGCAAGTACCTTCTTAATCAATTGAACATCATAGGACCTTCCATATTTGTTCCTTATCAAAGCTGCAAGGTCTATTCCACTAAAAGCAGAGTCATCCCTCCCGATGATTCTTTCAAGATTATTCCTTAGAATTTCACTATTTACCTGACAAACCAAAAATTAGGATGCTTGTTCGACATTCAGACAATAGACATGCATAGACACGCACTGTTAGGCACATGCCCATGTTGTCCAGCCAAAGGCCCAATGGCCTAATCCTATTCTCTTTTGGTTTCCATTCCTATTCGGAATTGGATTCGGTGTTTATTCCTATTTTGAGTGGGTTTTGGCTTTAAGAGAAAGCACCACTCATGATCTATAAATAGGACAACCTTGGAGAATTATTCTATGCTCATTGATACAAATCTTTGAAAGACTTAAGCACATAAGAGTGGTTTTTGAGAGAGCTTTCATCAAGAGAGAAGAGAGAAGAAAAGTATTTGTTTTGCTGCAGATTTTTATTCCGACCAGTCAACTTCAAATCACGTTTTCCGATTGGTTAACCCTTGGATCGGGCTAAAATTTTGACTGAGTGTTCGTAACATCTTGGCCTTTGATTTGAACGGTGGAGATCGGATTTGGAGGCCCGTAGCATCTGATTTCGAGCCTCGACCAGCAGATTCGTTTTTGTGTATTTTCTCTTTCTTCAATTGATTTATTGTTACTCTTGTTGCTATTGTTGCTCTGTGTTGGGCACTTGTTGTGTAGCCAATGGAGAACTTTTGTAACCCTCTTATTGTTATAGTGGAGCTTTTTGGATCTTTGTGATCCCGTGGTTTTTATCTTCGATTTGAAGGGTTTTCCACGTTAAAATTTGGTGTTATCTTCTTTATTTTTGGGTTTGCCTCTTCCTCGACATAACACGCACAGCTGTATAAGTATATGCTGTGTGCGTTATATTTTATATCCAAACATCTCTTTATGATTTTTTGATTTATCATTCAAAGAATCAAAGTGTAAATTAACAAGCATAGGGACGCGGGAGCCAAGCAATGATTGAATTGCAACAGCAAGGGCAATTTAACTTACAGATCCAGTTTCACTTTCTGTTGGTTTGTTACTATCTTCTGAGTCATCCGGATCCTTTGCATCACCGGTTGCAGCAGAAAATATTGACCAGCTTTTTCTAGTATTTAGGTGGCGACAGCTAATAAACTTCTGACCTTTTGAAGGTAACAATTCTTTCCAAGAAGATTCTACGTCTGTATAACGAAAACATGAAAATTTGCAACTTCTTTCCTTCAAAATATGCTCTGGACCTCCTAATGAACAGATACGAGGGTGGGTCCCCAGAGAACTCGTCATTACAAAAT